AGTACCATGGGCGTTTGGAAAGAAGAGAGCTGAAATGGTCCAGGAGAGTTTCGTGGATGAAGATGGACATTGGGTCATCAAGCCTAAAAACAGGCAAAGTTCATCTTCCAGGTCTGAAGCAGTTAGTATGGGAGTAATCATTTCTGAGAGCATATGCTTGTGGCAGGCATTGTTTAAATTGTGAAGGCAAGTATATGAGGCAAGTATATAAGTTTCCTTTGGACTCAATTCATTCAACAACTATTATCAAGCATCTAGTACGTGTCATAAGCAGTTGTGGTTTGTCCAATATTGTCCAGTTAAAAATTGCCTATGGGGTGTGAAATCTGCCTTATGTATGGCATCTTTATAGCCCTATATTCATAAATCAGAATGTCCTAGTACACAAATAAGTGAATTCACATGATTATCATGACATTTCTTATGAAACAATCACTATCCAGTTATCTAGTGGCATTTACCTAGATTAATTTCTTCATTACCTGGTGGTTTTTATGTTTCTAGTTTCAATATCCTTCATTCTTTTAAAAGAATAATTTTTAACAAAGATATCTTCTGAGTAGGGTAAAATTTCATCACTTTTTAAAGAGTTACAAGTACAGATCTGTCAGTTTCCATATCTTGTATTCTAAGCAACAACTTTGAAATCCAAATTCTAAAATCGCAGAATCATACAATATTTTCCTAAGGGCATAAGCCTCTATTTTGGGCAGGATATCTAAATAAGCAGGGAATGTTAGGAGCCAGTAACCTACTCCTCCCTCTTCCAATAAAATTTTCAAAGAAAAAAAGCTTTAAGAATTCATAAGTTTAAAAGAATAAATCTAGCTTGCTGTTCTTTTTCTTTTCATACAGAAATAGTATCCCTTCCGTTAAGAGCCAGATTAGAGATCTGACACCCGCTCCATCTTCCCACCCCACCCTCATTGAAAATCACTTGCTACTCAAAGTGTGGTCCCTGGACCAGCAGCATCAGAATCACGGGAGACCTTGTTAGAAATGTAGACTCTCAAGCTCTGCCCAGACCTACTGAATGAAAATTGCTGAATCTGCTTTAAACATGCCAGGCGATAAACATACACATGAAAAGTTGAGAAGCACTTCTCTAAGGATCATTAAAATATTACTGAACTAATTTGAAAATATGGTACCAGTTAACTTAGCCCTGCACCCTCAATTCCTTCACAGCCACCTAGATGCAAATAGAGAGGATCAGTTTTTCAAGTTGAAATAACAAAGGATTCCTAACAAGGGTTGACATTCTCTCCACCTCAAATAAACATTGGATGTGCATTTTTAAGATACTAGTTTAAAGAGCTGACAAATTGCTTTCTCACCTAAGTCACCTACATGACTCTGTATGGTCATCTTTCTCATCAACCGTTTCTTTTGTAAAATTAACATCTGAGATATAATGCAACCTAATAAATGCAGTAAACAATGAACTAGATCATGATGAAAGCAGTCTTGGAAAGACTGAAGAAGAAAGAAGTAACAAGAAGGTTAAAAGAAGTAGAGAAAGCCAGTAGAGTCAAGGCCAGCAGTTTCCTGGAATACCTGCTTCCCTCTTTCTCAGTGTACTCCTCTCAGATAATCTGCCCCCATGTCCACCCTGAGCAAATGCTTCCATGCTTCAGAATGATGAAGCAGAGCTTAGAAATAGGACCCTAAGCCAGGACACTCATTTACAAAACCCTTTTTAGAGCAAATGAAGTTAAGTCCTATATTAATATATCTAGAAGCACTCATCCTCCAATCAATATTAAAGTTTAAAAAAAAACAGGAATAGAGGTGCATCTTTTAGCATGGAATGATTAATGATTTTTAAAAAGTCGAAAAGGATCTAGATGATAGTTGTTGCCTGTTTTGTATTTATTAGCCGCAAGTTAACAATTCCTTATGAAAAACTAGGGTAAAATCATTGCTTGAATGTTGGTTCTAGCTCTTATGTAAAAACAAGTGCATAGAAATTCAAATCCAATATCATTGACAGACTCAATCAATCACTATGATGAAGGTTGGGGAGTTTCATATAAATAAACTAATACAATCATGTAATCATCAGGAAAGAAATTATTAAAGGCTTTAATAACGTTAGCGTGCTGATAAATGTTTAACAACCGGCTCTTTGGAAGGGGAAAAAAAGCCCTAACTGTAGCATTTGCCGAGTTTCATGACATAAATGCTCCAAGCATGGTGAATTTTAGGCTGCCAATGTTACGTTACTGAACTTGGAATAGACTATACACAACTGGTTTGGGAGAGATGCCCACAACTGGTTCTCAGAGACCTATAAAAGTCACTCTAGCACACCCTCGCAAATAACATACAGATTTTTTTTTTAACTCATCAATAGACTCAGCAACTTTTGATCTTTAGTTCAGACATGTATTTATTTATACCATGAAAAGTCTAGTGATTCTACCGTCATCTTAATCAAAGGTGGCAGGACCAAAGTTTAAACCTTAGAAGAATAAGTACATGAATTTTGAAGTTGGGAGTTCCAAGTTTTCATTTTCAGCATGTCAGAAAAAGCCCTCAAAGTTTTGCACTTTTATGATATCTGTCTGCACATCAATCACTCTCACACTGATGTTTTTAATACCTGTTAAAGATGGGGAATTACTCTGTGTGGCTTATGTTTTGCGTGCTTGGATGTCACTACACTGGATGCAGTCATGAATTCTGAGAGAAACATGAAGCAACGACCATGAATATGTATGTTTTGAGGTACTTCATCATAATTTTTGGCAGTAATATTCTTTAGAATCGGCATATAGATTAAAGTTGAGGTGGTTGCCTCAAAAGTAATGCTAAGCTAGACATTTATAGTAAATACATAGCATATACAAAGTTATTTGTCATCTTTGATTTTTGATATTTTAATCACATAATAGAAAATAATGTTACTTTTGAATAAAGTTTAAAACACAAGAAATCCCAAAGGCCTATTGCTACACATTGTGTTCAACTAGACAAAATTAATTGTGCATATATTGTAATATATGTGAAAATGAGATTTTTATTCAAAGCAGTGTTTTGTTAGCATTTACTTATGTAGTATGCCTCAATCTTTCACAGAAATATTAACAATAACATTAAAAAGACAATTCATAGGCCACTATAAATTAAGGCTGATGCACAACCTAATGCCAAGATCTGGGGGAAACTAATAATAGTTATAACATTATTATAACATGAATTTAGAAAGTTGATTAAAGCGTCAGCTCATGGCATTAACCAGCTTATGGAAAAAAAGGGCCATGAAAAATAAGGTTAAAAAAAAAAACCTACCACAACCCTAATAACAGAAAGTGTGTCTTTTTAAATTATTTTTTATGTTTATTTTTATTTTTGAGTCAGGGTCTCACTCTGTCACCCAGCCTGGAGTACGGTGGCGTACTCACGGCCACTGCTGTCTCAACCAGCTGGGTCCAGGTGATCCTTCCACCTCAGCCTTTCAAGTAGCTGGAATTACAGAGGTTGTGCCACCACACCCGGTTAATTTTTTGATTTATTGTAAAGACAGGTCTCACCAAGTTGTCCAGGCTGGTTTCGGACCTCTAGACTCAGGCAATCCTCTCACCTCCGCCTCACAAAATGCTGGGATTACAGGCTTGAGTCACCACGCCCGGCCCAGAAAGTGTTTCTTAAACAGACATGTAGGACCTGCTCCAAGAAACCATCCCTCTATAATGTTTAGAGCTATAGTGGAATGTGAAGACCTCTAAACCCCTGAAACCACTCTGTTCCACTTCCTTGAGCATTCTTTTACATCCTCTCAGAGTCTGTAAATCCGAGGAAAATAACTGGGCAGGAAATAGGAGGAGAGGGTTAGGAGTGGGCACAATTAGAAATGGCACGCAAGGCGGTTGCCATAGAGAATGACAAAACCTTGCTAGTGAGGGAGCTGAGCTCCGGACCTAGGGTAGAGGGCTTGTAAGTTCCCCTCGGCACCAGACATGTGGCAGTTCAACATCAGGTCCCTGATCTAAACAGCTCCCGGTTCCAAGAACTGGCAACTTACTACTTTGGTTTTAATGGACGGTCAGAAAGGATCGTCAAAGGTGGTGCTGCCGTCCTTTACATGCAGGAAACTTTGAGTGAGTGTGGTGGAGAAGCCTGTGGATGGGCTGGCTGAACGATCATTATCGTTCCTTACGAAAAGAAAGACAGCCTGCTATTCAGAAGACTTTGTCAGATGCATTCCAGAAACTGTTGATTGTGGTTTTAGAAAGTGATAGAATCGCTGTGGAGTGCAGACACAGGGAGGAGATTGCAGATGTCATGAGTGAGGAAGAAACACGCTCCGGTTTGTGTCAGTTGCTTTTCTTGGGAGCAGCACAGCCAAGAGGAGGAAGAGTATTTCTCAGATTTCAGCTTGAAGAAGGAAGAACTCAGGTTGCAGGAACTGAACTAGCCCTCCTGACTGTCCCGAGGCAAGGCCCTGTGGCTCCCTTGGGAAGCTCTGCCATCCCCCCATCCCCAGCCCCCACCACCACCTGGGTCTGCAGCCAAAATCCTGCCCTGCGGGGGGCGGGGGGGCAGGGAGGCTTGGGCCTGACTGTGGGAAGAGGCTCGCCCAGTGGCACAGCTCTGTTCTGAGCCAGGCCTAATAAAGATTATGTAAATAAAGGTGTCAAGTAAAGGGCGGGGCAGGGCGTGCTGCTGTCAAGGGCGCAAGCGTTGCCAGGCTGCCATTCTGAGTCTGGTTGCCATAAAGGTTCTGGCTGCTTCAAAGTCTTGGCTCCTGCTCAGGGTGCTGTGCCAGCACCCCACTGCTTTGGGTCACCAACCTTCACATATCATGTCACCGCTGTGCCTCTTGGCCCTGCTGCACCTCACGTAGCAGGCCTTGTGGCTGCTGATCCGGGCGCCTCAGCCTCCAGAGGGCGCCCAGGCCCCTATCCCGCTGAGCTCTTGGTGCCTGTAGCTCATTGAGCCCTGGTCCTTGTGCCCCTCCAATCTACCACTCTGTGATCTCCCACCCGCATCGCCCCATGCCAACCCAGGGAACTCTGACAACGCGGACCCTCTGCTTCCTCCCAGATGTTGGACCCACCTCAGGCATGGATTGGAACTTCAGGTCCGTGCCCTCGGAGCCAGATCAGGTTGCTATTCCGCTTCAGGGTCTGAACCAGATGACTCAGCAAGAAAGACTCCCATAGGCTGTTCTCATATGAGCTCTGCCATTTCCACCCAAAAATAATATTAAAGACTTGGGTCTGGATCGGGCTGCAGACCACCAGGCCCTGGGAATAAAGAAGAAGCCCTTCTTGGACAGCCAGGAGTTCAAAAGCAACAAAGTTTATCGTTTCCCGGAAGAACCTGAGGAAAGAGGCTTGCCAAGGTGGTGGTTAGAACACCACACCAATTTGCATCTAAACCTCAAGCACATAATTTGCAGGACGATTAGTTAGATGCAAGTATGGACACCCTTTATCCTGGCAGCCTCACTCTGGGGCTCTAGAATGCGGGTGAGTCTCCAGGGTACCATGAGCAAACAGGACTTTCTCATTCCCTGCTGGAGGCCCAAGCTCAAAATCCAAAGACCCCCTAAGGAGGCCCAATCCTCTTCATTCCAGGAGAAGGGCCCAGCTCAGCCTCCAGAGTTCCGCTGGTGCCTCAGGAGTCAAATGTGCTGCTTCCAAACGGAAATGAAGCTCAGCATTTGAACTTGCCCGATGTCACCGTGAAGCCTGCAGATGTGAAGCTGACGGTAACTTGAGGCAAGGAATGACACAGAGCCTACTCCAGCCCTGCAGGAGGCCCTAGCCCAGCCTCCAGATCGTCCTGAGGAAGTAGAACCTGTGACCCAGGAAGAGGCCCCAGCTGAGCCTCCTGTGGAGGCTGGACCATCCCCCAGGGAGCAGGAGGCCCCAGCTCAGCCTCCAGAGCCCCTGATGGAGGGTGTGGCTAAAGATCCTCCCAATCAGGAGGTGACAGTGAGACTTCCAGGTGTGGACAAAGTTCATGTCTACAACATAGGCCTACAGTACAGTTAAATCTGTGGATGTGGCAAATAACCCAAACTTCTGAGACTACCAAGGAGGCTGAACCTTCCCCACCATGGCAAGAGGCCTCAGCTGAGGTTCCTGTGGGGGCTGGGCCTTCCTCCAGTGAGCAAGAGCTGCCGGCTCAGCCTCCTGAGTCTCCTGGGGAGGTTGAACATTCTGTGAGCCAGCAGGAGGCCCCAGCTCAGCCTCCAGAGGCCTCGATGGAAAGAGTGACTGAAGCTTCTCCCAATCAGGAGGTGACAGTGCCACTTTCAGGTGAGGATGAAGCTCATGTCTACAACACGCCCAACGTCACTGTTAAACCTGTGGATGTGGCAATCACCATAACTTCCGAGACTACCAAGGAGGCTGAACCTTCTCCAGCTCAGTAAGAGGCCCCAGCTGAGCCCCTTTGTGGGGACTGAACCTTCCCCTGGTGAGCATGAGCTGCCAGCTTTGCCTCCTGAGTCTCCTGGGGAGGTCGACCCATCTGCGAGCCAGCATGAGGCCCCAGTTCAGCCTCCTCAACTCCCCAGTGAGCATCAGGAAGTAACAGCTTCTACTCCAAGTCACGACCAAGTTCAGCCTCCAGCATTGTCCAGTGTTACTGTTCAGCCTGTGGAGTGTTACTGTTCAGCCTGTGGAGTGTATGGTTACCATGACTCCAGAAGTCACTAGTGAGATTTTCACTCAAGAGGAGGCCCCAGCTCAGTCCTCTGGGCCCCCTGAGTAGTTTGGACCTTTGACAGAGCAGCAAGAAGTTCTAATTCAGCAGCTCAATCCCCCTGAGAAGGATGAACATTCTCCAGTCCATCAAGGAGTCCCAGCTCAGCCTGAAGAGCTGCCTGAGGAACATCCTTCACGATGAGATGACATTGTCATCCCTAGATCTGTCTTCATTGTTCAGAGAGCAGTCACCAGTGCCTGATACCACAGTGCAGCATGTGAATATGGCGCTCACCATACAAACAGGGCCCACCATGGAGGCTGAGCTTCCTTTAGTTCAGCAGGATGACCCTCCTGTTCCCACTGGGCAGGGTGGATTTTCTCCAACCCAGTCTGATTCCCACAAAGAGTCTGAATCTTCTCCCACCCAGCAAGAGGCCACAGCTCAGACTCCAGATCCCTCCAAGGAGGTAGAACCTTCTCTAGTCCAGTAAGAAGCCCCAGGTGAGCCACCAGGGTCCCCTAAGGAGGTCAGATCTCCTCCAGGCCCCCAGCAAACCCTGGTACTTCCTCCAGAACTCTCTAAGGAGGATCAGTCTTCTCTAACACCACAGGAGGTACCAGCTCAGCCATCAGAGCCTCCTGAGATGGGAGAGCTCTCTTCAGTCCCCCAGGAGGCCACAGCTCCACCTTCAGAGCCACCTAAGGAGGTGGAACCTTCTCCATCTCAGCAGGTGACCCCATCTCAGCTTGCAGAACTCCCTGTGGGGGTAGACGCCACTTCTCAACCTCTAGATCCCCTGGAGGAGACAGAACTTTCTCCAGTTCTGCAGCAGGCCCGGCTCAGTTTTCAGAGCCCCCTGAAGAGGTAGAATCCTCTCCAGTCCGGCAGCCAGTCCCTGCTCAGTCCTCAGGGCCTCCTATGGTGGTGGAACCCTCTCTGACACAGCAGGTGGCCTCATCTTCACCTCCAGAGCTCCTTGAGGAGATAGGACCAGCTCCGATCCAGCAGGGGGTTCCAACTCAGCCTGCAGAGCCCCAAAGGAGGCAGAACCTTCTCCAAGCCAGCAGGCAGTCCCAGTTCAGCCTCCAGAACCTTCTAGGAAGTTGTAGCTCAACCTGCAGTGCATCATGAGATGACAGTTTCAACACCCAGATTAGGGTCAAGCTCAGCATCCACTGTTGCCCAGTGTCACAGGTCAGCCTTTGGACCTGGGACTCACCATTACACCAGCATCCACTGTGGAGTCTGAGCAGTCAGCAGTCCAGATGACTACAGGGCCTTCAAAGCACCCTGGCCAGGTTCAGACTCAGCATGCAAACCTGACTCGAGTCATAGCTCAGCCTTTGGACGTGAAACTGGCCATTACTCCAGAGCCTACTACAGAAGCTAAGCTTTCTCCAACCATGCAGGAGACCAACTCAGCCAGACTTGGGGCTTACTGTAACTCCAGAATCCGCTACAGAGATTAAGTTCTTTCCAACCATGCAGGAGACCCCAACTCTGCCAGACCTGGGGCTTATTGTAACCCAGAGCCCACTACAGAGGTTAAGCTCTCTCCAACCATACAGAAGACACCAACTCAGTCAGACCTGGGGTTTATTGTAACCCTAGAGCCCACTATAGAGGTTAAACTCTCTCCAACTATGAAGGAGACCCCAACTCAGCCAGACCTCGGACTTACCGTAACCCCAGAACCCACTATTGAGGTTAAACTCTCTCCAACCGTGCAGGAGACCCCAACTCAGCCAGACCTGGGGCTCATCATAACCCCAGAACCCACTACAGAGGCTGAACATTCTAAGGCCCTGGAGAAGACTGCAGGGCCACATCCAACCCAGGATCAGACTCAGCGTCCAATCCTATCTAAAATCAGAGGCCAACCTCTCCCCGTGGAGCCCACTGAGGATTCCCTGGTGCAGTCTGAAACAAGACTTTGACTGTACCAGAGGAACAGAATGCCACCACCAGCACAGACATATGTGAGCTCTTTTCCAATAGAGATGAGACGTTGTCATGCATTGATCTCAGCCCAAAGCAGAGTCTCTACCACATGCCTATGCTGGAGGCTGGCCCCTACAACAGCACCTTCGCTGTCCTAAATTTCTAGGAAATGCTATTTCTTTCATTGGTAAAAATGTATGGAAATCATACCACTGGACTGAGAAACTAGATTTGACCTACAATAAACTACAGTTCATTGAGAGATGCCCACTTGAGTCACTACCGTTTCTTTGGGTTGTAAATCTTGGTTGCAATTTGCTCACCAAACTGAACTTCAGAACGTTTGAAGCCTGGCACAGGATGCAGTTTTTACACAAGTTGTGAGATAGTAGATGAACACGTGTTAGCAACCGTTGATGTGTAAAAATGTCGTACAGCTATTGGTTAGCGGGGTAGAAGCCCATTATGAACTCTGAAAAGTGTGTCTAAGATTCACTCATTATTTTCAAATGAGGAAACTGAGGCACAAAGAGGCCAAGAGGCTTGTGCAGCATATGTATGATGTATTCTGCTTTCCCAGGTACTGGTCTTTGGCCTGGGCAAGAAAGGCACCAAGCAAGCAACACTCAGATGAGCACTGTCGGGGGAGCTCCATGGTGCTGCTCTGATGTGGATGGTCGTTGAAATTCTGCTTTTGAATTGAGTTTCAATTCCTGCTCATATGCAGAGTTTCTAACTACTTCAGTGTCTGCAGTTTCTAGCAGCAAAGAAGGCAGCTTCTCTCAGAGTCCTCCGGAAAGCAAAAGTTGCCAGTCACCTTTTCATTGTCTGTTGCTTTTAAATGGTAAAGCAGAAAGAATTCCCGGAACTCTGCACTGGGCACTTCTCTCCCCAATCGCCCAGAACATTATTTTTCAAAAAGTACATACCTCTGAAGCTAGGATTGATCTATGGGCAATGGAAACCCTCGGGGTGTAGGAAAAGATGGTGTTTATGTTAAGCTATAGTGCAAACCATTCACAAAGAAGATGCTCGGCTCTAGCCTAATTCCATAGACTTTCTTTCCTGACTGCCTTTCAACAAGAAGTGTGGGTTTTAGTTCCTTTCAGCTCACAAATTCCATGATTTCTCTGTGACACCAGCAAATCATAGTGGGTATGCATGACCTGAACTTGACTTTGGGAAGCACAGTCCCTGTCTTGTGCTTCAGAAACCTAGTTTCCCAAGCTTGCTGTAGGCTGGAGAGAGGGGCTCTGGTGTGCCAGAGCCGAGTGAGCAACAGCTGCAGAGGCCCATCTGCAGCGGCCTCTTCTTTTCCTTCATCTACTTGTTGATGCCGGACTCGGGAACAGGACACTGAAGGTCTCTGTTTCGTTTGCCCTGGCACCAGAGCAAGTTCGTTAGGTCCCTCACCTGATTAGACAGCATCAAATGTCTTTAACTCACCACCTTTCCAAGGGTTTTATGAAACCGAGAGTCCCTCTTAAGAATCTGTGTTTCACTATTGTAATACTATAAGGAAAGGATTGGCAGTAGCAGGAAATTGAGGGGGGTGGGGGTGGGGGGATGGAGAGATGGAATTAGTAATGGGGGGGCACACCTCATCAACAAGGGTACCTGCATAATGCACATTTGTATACCTAACCCTGAATTGTACCCCACATCTTTAAAATAAAAAAATTAAAGATTGAATTTTTTTAAATGGCATACAAAACAATCCTTAGCAGAAGAAACAAAGCAGGAGGTATTAGACTTCCAGACTTCAAACTGTACTATAAGCCTACAGCAATCAAAACAGCCTGGTATTGGTACAAGAACAGATATACAGACCAATGGAACAAAATGGAGATTCTGGAAGCAAAGTCTCAATTTCTCAACCAACTCATTTTTGACAAAGTGTCTAACAACAACCACTAGGGAGAAAAGAGCATATTCAGTAAATGGTGGTGGGAAAACTGGCTGACCACATGCAGAAGATTAAAACAGGACCCCTATCTATCACCATACACAAAAATTCTAAATGGATCAAAGACCTAAATGTAAAACCTCAAACTGTAAGAATTTTAGAAAACAGGAAACACCCTTATGGAAATTGGAACTGGTAACCAAAATCCTGATCAGAACCCCAAGTGCCCATACCATAAGAAATAAGATAGACAAGTAGGACCTCATCAAACTGACAAGCTTCTGCAAAGAAAAATAAATCATCCAGAGAGCAGGGAGACACCCCACAGAATGGGAAAAAATATTTGCCAACTGTATATCTGACAAAGGCCTAATATCTAGGATCTACAAGGAACTCAAATGTGCCAAAAATAAAAAAACAAACAGTCCCATTAAAAAGTGGTCAAAAGAGCCGGGCTCGGTGGCTCAGCCTGTAATCCAACACCTTTGAGAGGCTGAGGTGAGTGGAATGCCTGAGCCTGCGGGTTCAAGACCCGCCTGGGCAACTTGGCGAGACCTCATCTCTACAATAAATCAAAAATTAGCCAGGCATGGTAGCGCGCGCCTGTAGTTCCAGCTACTTGGAAGGCTGAGGCGGAAGGATCGCTGGAGCCCAGCAGGTGGAGGCTGCGGTGGCCGGGAGTGGCCACTGCACTCCAGTCTGGGTGACAGAGTGAGACTCCAACTCAAAAAAACAAAAACAAAACAAAAAAAGTGGTCAAAAGACATGAATAGACACTTCTCAAAAGAAGATATATGGACAGCCAACAGACATATGAAAAAGTGCTCAGCTTCACTAATCATCACAGAAATGCAAATCAAAACCACATTGAGATA